TTGAGATACAATTGATTATAAACGTACGGAAATATGTTGAAAGAGAAAGGAAGCCAAGAACATTTAGAAGCGTTTAAAGACATGAGATTGGAAGAAGACCAGTGAGAAACAGAGTTTATACAGTTTTGAACATGAGAAAAATTAGAAGAATCAGTAGGGAAAAGAGGAACAATCAAAAAAACATCATCAGCAAAGAGACAGATTTCACAATTAGGTGGAAGCGACAGAGGTAGATCATTAATAAAGATAAGAAATAAAAGAGGACCAAGCACACTGCCTTGAGGAACACCAGAAGGAACAGAAGAAGGAGAAGAGACAGCATCGTTCACACGCACGCACTGAGAACGGTTCGAAAGATAAGAAGATAGAAGAGACAACAAAGAATCACGCACACTCGAAATAGGGCGATAGTTAGAAATATCCGCAAGAGCACCTTTCTTATGAATAGGTATAATGAACGCAGTTTTCCATAAAGTTGGAAAATTGCTAGTAGAAAGACACAGATGAAAAATAAAATGGAGGTGAGGTGAGAGAATGTCAGCACAAGAAGAGAGGAAGGAAGAAGGGATTCCATCAATACCAACAGTAGACTTTTTATCCAATTTATGAAGTAAACGCTCAACATCTCGTATGGAAAAGTCGAGGTGTTTATCCATCGTTGGCAGGTCTGGAGTGGCAGGGGAGGAATTTGCCCCTGAAGAGAAGAATAACAAGAGGAAAAGTGACAATTGAAAAGTTCAGCTTTATCCACATCTGTAGAAACAGATTTGGAGCCTAGAAACAAAGACTGAGGTAAAGTGGAGTGAGAAGAGGACAGTTTCTTGATAGAGCTCCAAAACTTGCGAGGATCAGACAATAACGAAGAGAGAGATCGAAAGTAAGAATTTTTCACGACGATAGAGAGAAAGAACAAGATTTCTTGCTTTACGGAACTCAGCAAGGTTAAGAGAAGTGTAACGACGTTTAAGTTTACGAAAACGCTGATTACGGATAGAGATAAGATGTGGAAGCTTTGGAGAAGGTGAGAGAAGAGAAGATAGAGTACGAACTGGCACCAGTGGAACGAATCTACGGATGGCATCGTTTACGTGCTCAGTCCAAATGTGGACGGCCGTATCAACATCGGTAGCCGTATAAAGGCCATGAGGTATAAGAGAGAGAACACGCCGTAGTTCAGGCCACTGGGCTTTTTTAAAGTCATAACGATAAGAAGTAGAAGGAAAAAGAGATTGAACAGGTACATCAAAAGTAGCAGATAAACAGCTATTGCATTATACACAATGGCATCAGCAGCCGAGTATCGTACGATCGCTAATTTGTTTGGGGTATCCAAGCCTAGCGTAGACAGCATTTTGTTTTCCAATTTCATAAGTATGCATACATTTAATCATGATTACAGCGGTCACACTACATTTAATCGCGATTAACTAATCACGATTAGCTTAATCGTGATTAAGCCTGTAGTGTGACCCTAGTGTATGCCAAAGTCTTGAAATATTCAGTACACGTTTCTCTTTAATATGAGACATTGCAGAGTTCTGGACTTGTGCCTCATTTGAGAATCATAGAAGAATCAGAATGTAATAAAACTTGACGGTAAAATAAAAATAAAAAATAAAAGTTGCGGTAGCAGAGTTAAGTGGCCAATCCGAGTAGTTCGCTATAAGTTATCAACCACTGGGAATCGAATGAACATGTGCACGGCATGTGAAAATATATTGGTCAAGATAAGATACAATGAATCGATCGTAAAATGATGAAATCACCATTAGAATAAAGGGTAGGTCTATTGACACCCCCGGGGTGGCAGCAAGAACCTATTGACAGTCCAAAGACTGCAGCAAGACTCTATTGACAGTCTAAAGACTGGGATAGCAAGGAGCTATTGACACCCCATCGAACTGGCAGCAAGAGCTATTGACAGTTCAAAATGCAATTACACACTGCATAAATGTGTTATTCAAAAAAGACCATCGTCTCCTGGTAACATGAAGCTATTCTAGCGGCTCACACACTGACACACTTAAGTGTGCCGATGACGCACTTGAAGTGTGCCGATGATACACTTTTAGAAGTGGCACACAAAAAGCGTCCAAAAATGCTATCGCAGTGTACCGAAAGCACACTAGAAATGTGTCAATGGCACGGTAAAAGCATGCTAGCAGCACATAAAAAGCATACTTTGGCACACTTTTTCCATGCCATTGGCACAATTTAAGTGTGCTTTTTCTAAAAGTATGCTTTTCCGGGACAGTGCACTCATGCACAGCCATCCCACCCGCTCTAAACCATCTCTCATATGTCAAATTTAGAACTAACTCAACATAACACTTTGAATAACACATTTATGCATTGCATAAGTGCATTTTGGACTGTCAATAGCTTCTTGGTGCCGGTCTTTGGACGGGTGGCAATAGCCATTCCGTAGAATAAAATGAGCACGAGACTCTACTATTATTTTTCATAGAAGTGCGTTAAAACGCTCTAAAAGTTCAAATTTGAGTTCTATTTAATATTAATAACTATCAAACTAGCATCATTTTATTTTTAAAATATTTCCATTAGATATCTGTATTATACTGGGCTACATACAGGGAAATCCAAAAGTATCGAAAAAGGAAAAAATTGATTTCGTACTAATTATCTGATACTTTAGGAAGGAAATAACCGTTAAAGGAAAAATTTAAGCATTAATTCCAACTCGAGTACGGCTAGATATTGGCAAAGTTTCACTGAAATCTGAGACAAAATGTTACATATTTTTCTTTAAACAGAAGATACAGTGAATAATCATTATAGCTTGTCATTGTATCTTATCTTGACCGAATATATTCCTACGTTAAAACACTATTTTCTTTTGCAGAACAATGCAATGTATTGTCGAGCATGGTGAACAGAGTTAGCATATACTAAGTCGTATGCATGGATGTGGGCATATATTCGATTCTCTGTCACTACGGTTACACTACGCAAATAATCACGATTATATCTTTGATCGTGATTAAAAGATAATCGCGATTAAACATTTTCTAGTGTAACCGCATTAACGATATTTAATCACGATGAACAGAATTGTGTGTAACCGCACTAATCGCGATTAAAAAGATAATCGTGATTTTACTCGTGAGAGCCATAACTATAAATACTCAGTGAGCAGGAGAAGTCGTCGATGAGTCATAAATAAAAACTTGTGTGGCTAATTCTTTTCGTCAGATTAAAACTGGAAAACGTTTATTATCAAAAGACAGAACTTCTCTAAAACTTTGGACCGGAAACTTTTTCATGATTTTACAGTCGACCTCACTGTTGGGGTGTCGCTGGGCAACAGTGGAGTAGAGTAAATATATGAAAAAAAATCTACTGTTCCACAGCAGTAAACCATGGAACTCGTGATTGGTTAAGTGTTCTTTTTAACATACAAATGCACTGTTTTTCTATTAATTTTTTTCCAGACCAAATCAATAGCATGAATAGCTGTAATAAATAGTATTTATTTGCAACAGATCACATTGAATAAAATTTTGCCACAGAAAAGATAGCTTCTGACGACTAAAAGCTATGACGTCATCGACCATGGCGGTAGGTTCATAGGTTTGTTGACACCGGCTGTTAATAAACCCTTCTTTTTTCCCGGCGTCACGATTCCGAAGACTAGCCATTTCATTCGATGTTTTTTCATCTTTTAACAAATTTAGCAGCAAGTTTGTTTCTTCCTCAGACCCCCACGGTCCTTTCACCTTCGTTTTATTCTCGTAACTCTGCGTAGTCATTTTTAATAGAAAAATCATTATTACTTAATTATTTATTAATCTGTAAAGCCAGAAAAATTCTTGAGTAGGCAAAACAACGTTCAGCTGATTAGTTAGTTATTGCAGTTGAGCAAAATGCAAGCGCCGCCATCATGATCCTTTTTTCGATAGAGGCAGTTAAAGTTACTCACGATTAAATTTAATCGCGATTATAGATAATCATCTTCCGAACATGATTATTTTTACTCATGATTTTCCAAATAATCGTGGGTAAAGTAGCGGTTACACTAATAGTTTACTCACGATTAGTAATCACAATTAAAGATAATCGTGATTATTTGAGTAGTGTAACCGTAGTGTATGTCAAGGTGCTAAAAACATAGAATAAATTAAGATTAGAAAACATTTCCTGGAATTGAGAAACCTCCTTAAAACCTATCATGAAAAACATAAATTATAGCGCATTAGAAAATAGACACTTTTGGTTATTAGATCATGTGTTTATTTCAAAATCCATTATTTTAACTCAAATCGACTTGTTTATCTGGAAGGAGATCTTTATAAAACCATTGGTACGTGTCAAATGTAACTTTTTTTACCTGTATAGCTCAACACTTGACCATTCGTCTTACCACTTTCTCAATATATTTTACTTTTTAATTAGTACAAAAATCAAACAAAAGATTTAATAATGGTAACAACAATAACAATTTTAAAAAAACTTTGTATTACAGTTTTAGTTTATCAGTTTCACTTGTTAATTCCTGTTTTTGATTACCATCGTCTTTCGATATCTCTGGCTGTTCATGTTCACTTGAATGACCTTCTTCTTCACTGTCAGAATTTTCTTCACTCTCGTCTTCGTCATCATCATCGTCGTCGTCATCTTCTAAAATATGAAAATTATTGTCAGTAAGTGGAACTAATTTTAAGCGCTGACATTTTTGCAAGATAATTAATCAGTTCAACATACCGTCTCCTTCGTCATCATCGGATCCATCATCATCATGTGGTGCTCGTTTTACAGCGCTGACTCCACCAAATGAAAATCCTGCTGCACCTTCACCACGAGTAAAATAATCAGAACCACCGCCAATATTAAAATCATCATCATACGTATCGTCTTCCTGATTTTTTCTACCATAATCATAGGATCGAGCTAAAAAACAGTATCAAAATAATAAAACAAATCAATACATAATAAGTCATATTAAACATACTTGACATTGATAAATCTTTTGTTTCTGCCGTTGGAAAATTACATTTTGGACATGGATATGCTTCACCTTTTCCATATTTGAAACCTTTACGCTTTATATGTTCGTCACAATAACATACTTTACATCTAAAACAAAAAATAGATATAAATCGTTGTCTTACTTTAGATAGAAAAAACTATCTTACCTAAGACAAGACCATTGACCATGTTTACTACAAGAAGCACCTAAAAAAGTGAAGCAAAAGTGACTAGTTTTAAATTAATTCAAAGAGATATTTTTATTTACATTTAAAATTTTCCGATTCCAATACTTGACAACTTGCTTGATGTTCAAATTGATCATCTTCACATAGAAAATTTGCACAAAATGAACTTAAAATAAATAGTAAAAACATTAATATAACAAAATTCTTTTCTACAAGATGATTATTATTATTACAATTTACCATTGAAAAACTCGACCACCTTGTTCAAATACACTTCGTTTACATTCTAAACATTCGGCATTTTCCAATGGACAGGGGCACGCATGAGTTGTTAAACATTTTCGTGAATGACATACCCATGCCTCACAAAAATCACATATTGCACCCTAAACAAAATAATAAAATATACAGTAGATGAACAAAATGTATTCTAAAAATTTTTTTATTAAATAAAACATACAACGAGTTGTAATCCGGTTGCATGTTGAACACCATGTTTGATCATACAATCACCACTTTTTGACATACATTTTTGTTTTCCTAAAAGTATAAACATGCATCTATAAAAATGATGGTAGATATTGTAAATAAACATACCACATTGAGCACACACCGGTAAATTTTGTATAGCTTGACAAAAATAGCAAAAGGCACGATTTTTCTGTTGTTTTTTACATTTATCACATTCCTAACAAGTGAAAAACAAATGTATACATTTTATAGTCTTCTGAAGAAATATTTTTAATATATTTACCATTAAAAAATTACATGGTTTTTCTGCTAAATTTTTATTATTAAATGCTGTCTGCAATACTTTTTGTCGTTCACGTTGCTTTTCAGCTTTTTTTCGTTGACCTGTTTTCTTTTTTGGCATTATCTAGTAAAGTATATTTATCTGAAAATTGTATGATATTATCACAGTAAAAACTATAGTAAAAAATCAATCTATTTTATTAGTAAATAATTCAAAATATAAATTTCTGTCATTTTGTAAACTTATGTTATATTTGCATTTAACTATTACATGAGAAAATGTATAATATTTTCAAAAGAGAGTGAAGATTTGATTGCAATAGATTTATGTATCAACGATGAAAAATAAATTTAGATATTCATTGTTAAAAGAATATCAATGGTAAACATTCATAATACATCATTAGGTACTAAATTTACATAAGTGTTGAAATAAAAGATGATATAATATCTTTTATCTCTAATTGCTTAGTCAAATCATATTTTCTTTTTTAAATATATCTCACAAGTTTTTAGATTATCTGAACGATTTGTTTATTATCAAATGGTCGTATAACAAAATGAATACAAAACTAACAAACAATGATGCAACATATAGGTAACAAAATCATTATTCGAAAAACGAAATAGAAAAAAGCGAAGAATAGCCATGAGAGAAAAAGCACACAACAAAAAATATATATAAAAAAACACATAAAGAGCTCGTGAAGTAAATTAAAGTTAATGTTTATATATAAAAAAAACGTATTTTAAAAAATGACTACTACTGTTTGTCGATCATGCAACATACACACATATAAGACAAAAAGCCAAAAAGATAAAAAAAACTGTAAAAAAAAAATTTAAAATATACAAAAAAAGAAAAAATATCTGGCCGGTAGATTATATCTTAATAATGGTGTCTAAAGTATCTACATATTGTAAGCAACATAAATTGGATCTAATAAATCGGATATAAAACCATCTCTTAAATGCATTCGTTGTTTTTCCCCTCGTGAATTTACAGGCACAATTCCCGGATCAACAATAACCAAAACGCCAACAATAATATAATGTTCTTCCAAAATTGAACTTGTTATTAAGGGTATTAAATCTAAAGATTGTGATTCTAAACCATCATATTCAACAACAACAACTAATAAATTTGTCCATGTAAAACAGGCACTAAAAAAATATATAAGCTTCTCTATAGATAGGATCTAAGATTTTTTGGTCCGTTTTAACTCAATGAAACTATTACAACCGATTGATTGGAAAATTTTCTATTTCAACAAAGAATTGTCAATTTGATCAATAATGTGAAGAAAATGCAAAAAATACAACGACTCTACTTTACATATTTATTGTTATTAACTAGTAGTACTACAAATGAACATGAAAGATTTCTCTAGATTCTAATCTAAACAGATGAACTCATGAAGGAGTAAAAAAAGACAAAAAGATTGAAAAGCAATTTAAGGGTTATAATTCCAGTTCGAAGAGTCTGACGATTGTACTTTTAAGCGGCAGAAATATTAGCATTGTGTTTAATTATGCTTAAAGAGTAATTAAAATGTTTGAACAAAATTATGAAAAAAAGACTAGTCACCGATGGTAAGACCTTATACAGTTTACAATCGAATGTAACGTAAATCTTAGTGTAATGAGGCGCTCGGCCATTTGTTCTGTCGCTGAAATAAACTGTATGACATAGACTGTAATATTTCTTTCCTAAAACTTTTCAACTTTCGTACTTTAATGAAGAGACATATTACATTCTATCTGATTTTCGAGTATGAGCAAACAACCATCACTTACCATTCACATATTTTCTTGTGTGTTCTCATGACTGTATTTTCAATATCAATAGGATGATATCTCATGCCTCGAATCAATAGAGTTTCATCTAATGCACCAACAATATAAACAGCATCATGATTTTCTACAAACAATGAAAAGATAAGTTCTGTATAAAGTTCTTCTTTATATTAATCTTTTTGATATATTACCATCTGCGATTGTTGAATCAGTTCGTCTGACAAATCCTAAATAGCCTGTTCTAGCGTACACTTGTCTTGTATCACCTGTTGCTAAGTGTGCATAATATTGACTTTGATCATCCTCTAAACCATTTCCATCACCATAAATTGTATAACATCCAGATGAATTATGCAAACATTGCACCCATAACTAAAAGCAAATTCTTCGTTAATTTGATTATTTCTCATTCAATCTGGTCTGTATATATCACCTCTCCCAAATGAGCATCAGCACACTGCCCTTTACTTTCTGGATTTGCAATGACAACCTTAACACCTGGTAAGAGCTGAAAACAATGTCAATCATCAGTATAATCAAAATAATCTATGTTTTTAAATATTACTTTTCCAGATTCTAATAAACATAAACTATGTGGACTTCCTTTTTCTACCAGTGTCACTCTATCATTTCTTAATGCACGTTGATCAACATAAACAGGTGAAGGATCGGGATCAGATGCGCCCTAGAAATAACAAACAGTGATTATAGTAGAGAAGAATAGATTTCTCTTTTTTCTTCATACGTACACGCAGACATATGGCAACATTGACCCGACATCCAAATGTTGTACTAATCGAACGTGGATTTAGTCCTAATGTTTGAAATAATTTTGAAAATGAATTTAACAGATGAAGACGAGGACGTTCTTCGGCAACAACAGCACACGTTCGAACACAAGATAAATTCAAGCCACGATTCTAAATGTTAAATGAAACACATTAAGCTACAATACTTGAATAGAAAAAAACAAACTGATGAATTTATTTTGGTAACATATGTTTTTCTCATTCACCTGGTACTGTCAATTTTTTCATTTTTCGACTTACTTTAAGGTCAACAATTGCAGAACTCAATCCTTTGGTACATAATTCCATAACAGAGTAAGAACAAAATGTATCACGAACTAAAGGCAAAGATATGAACATTATTTTTCAACTATTGATATATAGACGAAACGTACTTTTATATTGACTAATTACTGACATCCAAACAGATGGATTCAATTCAACTTCAGTTGGATCAATCAAAATTGAATGATGCCCACCATAAATGCTGGAAAACATTGAAGGTAAAATTGTATTTGAGGTATATATCGTATAGGAAGAAGGAAGAATACCCCGCCTTGCGGCTACCGTTACCGGCACAGGGTGTTGCCGAATGGCAGTTCCAATAGCCCAATATCTTCTCTGCAGTTAAAAAGCTTCGAAAATGGTCATCCATATAGTTACTAGTCATCAATTATAGCTCTGGCTACACGGCTAGCCTGATGCAGAGTTCTTTTACTCAATTACTTAAGTTCCCCATACACAAGCCAAGAGGACTTATTAGACTCATTAGCCGGAGAAGTTTATTGTACGTCACAACGTAGTGAGTATGCTGTCGGACGAGTGAGGCGCCAAGACATGAGTAACTTATCCAAGGTTATTACATGATTTTGCCGACGACGAGGTTCGAACATAGTACTTTTGAAGTAGGTGAAGAATAAGCGATGCTGTCCTGTATGTCGTTTAATAACAGAATGGTGTGATTTGGTAGTTCTGTCATTTGACTCTTACTTCAAAAAGGCAGTTTGTTTGAACCTTCTAAAAACAGTCGGAAACCCTGTATAAGGAGCTCAAATAATTAACCGTAAAGTACTTTGGATTAGGCTAGTCTTCTCTCCAAAGTTGTGGTTAATAATTAGAGAAAAGGTGGATGGCCATCTTCGAAGATTGTCGGTCGGTTGCATGGAAAATGTCGGACTACTAAAACTGACTACATCATCACCATGTATTGACAACGGTAGCCGTGAGGCGAGTATTTGTTTTTTTTGCTCTTTCTTTATGATAACAAGCACGGTTAGAAGTATATGACAGCAAAAGAAGATCAGGTAGTCATTTTCTTGTCAAACATGATCGTAGTTCAAGTAGTTTGAACAAAAGTATCAAATAAGAGTTCAAGTAACTGATAAACTCATATCAATGTTTACTGTTCAACGATTATATGTACATAATATAATGAACATATTATTCTTACCTAATAATGCACCAGAGTACGAGACCGAGTCCATTATAAGGATCAAGGGATAATACAAGTTCTCTTGAAGGATATAGTTCACACGATAATTTAATGGAACGACATACATTTGCTACAGCACCATAAGATATCTTAAAGGATCAAGCGAAAAAAAAGCTTTCTTAGTTTTAAGTTGACAGTTGAGAATGTATCTTTTACTTTGACGCCTGTTAATGTTCCTGTTGTTGATATACTAAAATCGAGATAGCACAATTGTTCTTGACTATTTATCATTATTTTTCGTCTATTTTCAATATTCAAAACTTTTTTATATTTAGGCAAGTCATCTGTGTCAATAATTAATGGCCAAAGTTTCGGATCTAGTAGAGTCGAAGCCTCCTACAAAAATTCAAAGAAAAACGAAATATTCTAAAACAACTTAACGTTTTTATTAAGCTCACTTTGCATCGTAATAATTTTCCTATTATACTATTCGTCAGAATTATTTTTGAATGACTAAGTTCAACAGTCATTTTAACAGTTGATAGAGTACTCGATAAATTCTGCGCATGTGGAGGACGAATAGCAACAGGTATCACACCTATATACAAAATAAAATACAAAATTGTAAGATAAAAAACAAGAAAGAAAAGCGAGTTGTATAAAATTTTACGTACCGATATATAAACAAGCATAAAATGCTGATACAAGATCGACACTTGGTGGATAAAGAAGTGCTATATGATCATTCTGTTTTAATTCGAGACGATCTAACATTGTCAAAGCAATACGTTCACTACGTTTATGCAGAGACAAACACGTGATTTTATCCAATTCTTGACCCTGAAATATACAAAAAAGAATAAAAAGATCAGAGTTAAATAACTGAACAATTGAAACGAGAAAGTGACAATTTGTACTCTTTAAACTTATACACGATTAAGTAGTTAGTAAGCAATGTATGAATAAATAAAATGTATTAATGGCTTTCTTTAGTTCACAGAATGAGTAATCTGATGTCAGTAGTTGTCATAAAGAAGGTATACCGTGACGCACCTTAGCATTAATAATCGAATAAAGTAAATGATCTGGTGTTGTTGTTGCACGCCATCTCAAAATATCATCAACAAACTGAAGCTGCAAAATAAAACACAAAAACTAAATTATCTTGTAAAGTATTAAAAAAAACATACCTTTCTCACAGTATCCATTTCATCGTCGTGTAAATCAGTACCTTTGGCTTCAGCTAATCTCATTCCTTGAATTATCGTACCAGCCAGTATTGCGCCTGGACCAACCTCGCGTTCTGGATGATGTTCACGTGGTTTAGGTAAATTTAAAATGCAGGAGTGTGGGCACATTAATACACTGAAACAAAGCAAGAAGTATAAAACAAAAAAAATTTATTAATCTTAATACTTACGAACACGGATGTAAATTTCCATCGAGTAAACGTCGACGCGTTTCATGAACATGTATTGTACCCGAATGATTCTACAAGCAGACACTATGATTAGATTAAAAAAACTCAAACAGTGTATTGATATACTTTTGGTAATGTGTTTGCGGGTACAAGAGTTAAGCAATAGACGCCAACTTGATGAATCGTATCGATAGCTTGTAATACACGACTCATCCATTGAAAACACTGAAAAACCAACAAGTGAATGAATTATTTCAACATATTTGCAAAAAATAAAAGAATCTATTCACCTCGTCTTCTGCAATATCTGGTCTTTGTTCGGCTACAACGATAATTCTTTCATCTTTTAATACTCTTATTGAAAATACCACAATTCTTGCTCTATAAACAACTTTAATAGGTTCCACTGCTAGAGCTGTTGCTATAATATCATCACTATTATGTTTACGGCCACCAATTTGCATCAAACCATCTCGACTACCCGTCACAAATAATAGTCCACCCTAGAAGAAAGAAAATATATCGATCTGTCAAATAACAAAAAATGTTTTAGAAGATTAGACTTACAGGTCCAAGAAAACCTAATAGACCAGATCTGACAAATTCTTGAGTTCCAATTGGTCGATCATCGGAGCCGAGTGGGCAAACTTTGAACACATTCTGAGATAATCCAGGCAGCGACCAATACGAAGAGGGCGTAGCTTTTGAAGATATTGCAATTTCACCTATTTCATCTGTTTGACATAGCGATGTTGGACCATCAATTTTAACTATACCGATTATAGCTAGAAATAAGAAAAAGAAAAATCAAGACAATTTTATTGAACGATTTATATTGAATTTGATACGCTCAGTAACTTACATCCTGGAAGTACATGTCCAACATCTTGTATTGTTAAGGATGTTAACGAATTATCCTGATCAACTCTAACAACACCGTATGATAATGCTTGCATTGATAATATTCCTCTTCCACATTGATGTGATGTTGATTGTCGATCATATCGTCGAATAGACAGAGTTAGAGTCTCACATGAATATGAACATGGACATAGTGCATCTTGTCTTAAACCTTTTGATTGAAATGTTGATAAAAATGTATCGACTGAAGTTATTGACCAAGGATTAGAACCATCACCAATCAAGAGAATACGCAATGATGATAAATTAATTTGTGAAGAATCCTTTGACGATGAACTATTAGATTCATGAGATGATAATACAGCCCAATGCATATCACTAAAATAGAACAGAAATAGAATAGAATAATTGACATTTTTAATGATATACTTCTATAGATTAGAGACCTACCGTGATTTAACTATACCAACGGTGACTCGATGTTTACTAACAGCTAATATCCAACTGGATGGTGATGATTTTAATAATGCACAGGGAACAAATAATACCTGCATGCCACTTAGTACACTCTAAAAATATCATCAAACAAGAAAAAAGTATAATATCACCTTTCTCAATGCTGTCGTGAATTTCGAAATAAACAATTCTTTCTAACAAGGAATCATTCCCAAGTGATCAACTCAGTTTTTCTACGTTCATATGTGGATCGATAGAGTATATTGAGATATCAGATAGTCAAAAGACTAAAAGGATTTGGGTTGTTATTGCTTCCTGCGAAAGTTATTGAATTTTTTTGAGTTTTTCCTTCAGAGGCTGAAAAGACTCAATATTTTA